TCAAAATGTGCTGGTGTATGAACTACACCATGTTGCTGCTCTCAGATTCTTAAGGAGAGATGGTATTAAGGTGCCAAGGCAAAAATTCAAGCCTAAATATTTTATTGACTAGAAGTTAAATGTATGATAAGTAATGCAAAGACAGTGCTTGTAGGTAGGCTGTGTCTCCTTCCTCAGAATGCTCATTAATAAGATACTTACTGGACAACCAGTACCACCAAGGCCACTGAAGGGATGCTAACTATGTATTTTGAAGAGGTTTTAATTTTGTGGAGGAGACAGAAGAAAATTATACCAGAAATCAGAGTAAGCAAGGCTATACGTAAGAACTTAGTGATGTCTGTATTCTGCTGACAAGACATGAAGGATTTGCAAGATAACTGTGTTCCTCATTTTTAGACCTCAGCAAAAACTACCATCCTGTTAAATAAGGTATTTAATGGCTTGTTTTCCTCACTGTGTGTCCATCTAAATTATCCTTGACTCTTTACCTGGCAAGGTCTGTCCTTCCCCTACTGGCTTACACTTCTCCCAGCAGGCTGAATAGCAGCCCAGCAGCAATCGCTATTAAAACCACACCTGCATGGAAAGTATCTGAATTTCCTCTAAGCTTCTCAAATGTATCCTAATCACTCTTATCTCACATGTTTTCCACAGCAGGTTTTTGCAGTTCTCTAACCTTTTAACTTTTGTTTCTGTGCCTGGTTTTAATGTTAAAACTTCTTTCATGGTTCTCTTCTGCCATGACAGGACAAATCTACTTATTTTTATCTCTGGCAAGACTTGCATTCTTTCTACTTACTTATAACCTGCTAAACTGAACTATCTGTATCCATAAAAACCTCTGTACTCCGAGTATCTTTTTATTTTAGCTTGCCTCCCAGGTGCCCTACATACATTTCCCAGCCTCAGGTGATGGATCCCTCATCTTACACCAAAATGAATGTTGTTCAATGACTATGTCTATTCGGTCAGCCTGAATCTTGGTGTATCACCCTGTGTTTACACCTTTGGTTTCTGGTGTTCACCAATACCATGCAACCAGTTGTAGAGGCTCCTGTAGCCTGCTAAAGACTGAAAAGGAGTGGTGTGAGACCTTTTAGGATTGCTTCAGACTTCTGTTGGATCAAATTTCCTTAAGGATATTCCTATTTCTTATGTGTTTTCCTTCTGGAGGAGTTCAAGATGTCAATTTTAATTAATTTAATGCTAGACCGGATTCCTAAAATTATTGCTGGCTATGTCTGTATCAGGAATAAGCATGAGTCTGCAAATGAAAATATCTGATGCTGAGGGCCATGTTCCCACTATGGGTTCTGTGTGTGTGGTTGGTTTAGGTCTTGCCTGGCCTCAAAGACTTTACCACCATTGCGTTGCAGAGAGGGTTGAGCATTCACTGGTGGTGCAGCCTCTTGTGATCCATCTGAAAACTTCATGTTCAAATCAAAGTGCAGTACATGGAGACAATCTGCTTCAAACCCACGCTCTTGGCTCTCACTTATTTAACACCATCAAAGTGAGAATCTGCACTAGTGCTGGCACACAGATCAACACCTGTCAGACAGTCTGGGAGATTACTGTAGCCATTAATGAACTTAATCCACATCTGGAGAAGGCACACAGGGATGTGGAAGATTTCTATCTCTTTGTTAGTTAATGGGAGAAGCTTACAAAGCCAATCTTCAAAGCAGATACAGCTACAGATAGGAAAAAAGAAAACATTCCCTCTTCACTTGCCTCCAGTTTGATCTATAAGAGGTCTAATATCATGATGGCAGAATACATTTTGAAGTAATGGATAATTGAGCTTACTATGTTTAGTGTAGTGATCAAATTGACTTTTTATTTGGTGAAGGGAGGGGTAAGAAAGGCAGGGCAAAGCCCCTATTATCTGCTGTGTACTGAAGATATGCAGAGTACTCTCAGAGAGCTCTGGAAATAGGGACTATGTATTTTAGCTGGTGGTATGCTATGCAAACACTTAGTGAAAACACTTAAACATCAAGAAAAGCAAATTACTCTGCCCTGGGGGAAGGGGGTTGGGGTGGTTAAATTCAGCTGCTATTACTGCTGTGCAGTTGTTAAAAAAACCACCACTGCACCACAGCAGATGAAAGGATTCTGTCACTTATGACATTCTAATACCAGGAAGGACCCTCATAACATGCTAAAAGACAAACAATAAAATACCTGGGGATGCTTTTTCAAATTGCTCGCAACAGGCTCACAGCCTGAACTATGCTGAACTGATAACTTGAAATTTTACTAACATGTTCCAATATTCTTGTGTATCAGGTTGCTTTTCAGAAGTATACTCTCAAGAACTTTCTATTCCTTACAATATGCTGAGCAGAAAAAAGTAAAACTGCATTTTCAAAGGGTTAGCTCCCACACTAGCCTGATGGTCATGTAACTGCTCCTCCCAGAATCTGAGACATAACATAGTCCTTTTCTGTATCCTCCTCAGTTACGCAAAATCACAGCTCAAAACTGTAGACTTAGTCACTAACATCAGCACAGAGAAATAGAAAAATCCAGCCAGTGCCTTTCTTTCCCCCTCTACCCTCCCACTTGCTTGTATATGCAAGATTTTCAAGGTAGGTGTTCACACACTTCACTTGTTGACTTGTGCTTTAGTTGGACAAGCAGGGAGATCTACACATAAAAGTTGTCCAAAGCCTAGAGCCTCCTCCTAATTCCCAGAACCACAAGCTAGGCTGCTACCAAACCATCCTCAGAGCTGCTCTGAGGGCTGTGCTGCAGCCTGGGTAAGGCAGCACAGGCACATGGAGCAAAAGCTGCTGTGCAACAGCAATGCTCACGCAGGGGGAGCTGGGCTGCTTAACAGACAAGATGCAGTCAGGAGTGCTGTCTAAAGATACAGAAGAAAGGCCAAGTGCCCTAACAGCCACACTGCTTAGGGAGGGTGTGAATGGGCCCATCTCTTTGTGTGAGCTCCAACTCTCAAGGTGTCTTAAGTGTAGTGAAAACAACCCCCAGCATCAGCTCTTCTTCCTGCTTGATCTTATATTGTGGTCACAGCTGCAAAGGTAAGGATGTTATTTTGCTCCTCTGGCATTGAGTCAAAACCCAGAAGTTTGTATTAGAAAAGTGGCCTGGAAAATACTGTGTTAACAGACACTCAAAGCCTCTGACTTCTGGGGAATAACCAGCTTTGAAGTAAAATACATTCAGCAATAATCCATGCACACTTCATTAATTTCAGAAATGCAACAGCGAAGCACTACTTAGAAAAAGCTGTAAGATACTAATGAAGGCTTTGGGGTTTATTTTTATTTTTAATCCCAAAAGCTCCTTATCTCCCTTCTCCATGTTTTTTCATTCAATTTACAGTAGTCTAAGTTAAAGCTCATCTAATAAAAAAATGACACATTAAGTTCGGCTAACCTCTTCATCCCCCTCTTGATAAGAATACTTTCTTCCTTGGGGAATAAATGCAACAACTTTACAATTGGTACATTGCTTGTTTAAGATAACTTTCCTTTGCACTTTGTGTTTAATGGAATTTGGCTGATCTGGGCTATTTCAGCAGTTAAATAATTGAGACAGCAAGGGCAGCAATTTTTGCCAAGTCTTGAATAGCACAAGGATCTCAAGGAAGAAAGGCAGCATTTTGTTATCTTTCAACATGCAGTCATCTTTCTCTACCACACCCCCAGTCAAGTTTGAGAACCCTTGACACGGGCCACTGCATGATATGAAACACCGGTTTACTGTTCAAATTTGAGTCAAAGCTTAGACTAAAAACAAAGAGTAGCTGCAGTTTAACACTGGATTTAAGTACAGGTCTGAGGAGTTGCTGCTGGAATGGAGGTGTTCATGCCACTTATCCCGTCCTGCTGCTGGGCTGTGCAGCTGCAGTGCTAGCCATGTCTAGAAAGCATTGATAACACTGGAACAACCAACTTTCAAAAAGCCAGCTGATCCCTAAGCCGGATGCAAGAGGTACAGCACGATGTACAGCTGTGCGGTGGAACAGAGCCACCTTGCTGCCGCAGCCCTCTATTACTCCAGCCTTTGAATCTCTACTAGGAATTTTTGAAATTTGTTTCAATACTTCAATTCATAAAAAAATGTCTCTAAAAGCAACCCAGACCACTCGTCGAGTTACATGCTCTCTTCTTGCACTTAAGAGTTCATGTGAATGAGCAGAAAGAAACCAACTAGGCTGGAAAACGGGAGCAACCAGCGTCCCCGGTAAGAAGGGACAGGGGAAATGATATTTGCTTCAGTGATCAGAGCAGACTTGAACAGGGAAGTTCCAATCTTTATAGAGAAACATAATAATCTCTTTCCTTTGCAGTGTTTGAACATTAGACCTGTTCAAGACAACCCAACTGCTTCACCAGCTGTACCTGAATAACAAAGTAAATCTGATTCCTTACTACGTGGATGAGTCACTGCAAACAACTTGCTTTATGTGGAAATCGCCCTACCCTCGCCACATTTCTCCGGGATGTGCTCCAGTCAGCGAGTTCCCCACAATACAGGGCACCGCGTGCCTGTGCCTGTTTAAGCAACAAGAGATCTTTCCTGCCGCAGCTCTGATTGCTCTCTGCGTATCAGGTTTTCTTTGTAACTTCCTAGACAAATTTGCCTCGCACTCCTCTCCCGACGGCGGCTGAGAAGTATCTTAAGTACACGCACCACTAACAGGGCCGAGAGGAAGCGTGCCGAGGCTCTCGGGGCAGTGAGCGAGCCCCGCCCGCCTCACGGCACTGCTGCCCCCACCGCGGCCGCGCCGCTCCGCGCCCCGGTCCGGCCCCGCCGCTCCCGCAGCCGCCGCGGAGCTGCCGTGGCCGGGACTCCCCCGGTACCAACCCCCTCCCGCGCCTCTTTCCGCCCCCCGGGGCCATTCTGCGCCGGCCCGAGCCCGCCGGGAGGGGCGGCGAGGCTCGCTCGGGTGCGGCGGTGCGGACGGGAGCGGCGGCCGGGACGCCCTGGCCGAGCCCCGGCCTCGGCCGCCCGCCCTCACTCACGGCAGCGCGGTCGCGTCGGGCTCAGGCGGGCGCCGTGGGGGCCGCCATGGCTGCGGCGCCGGCGGGGAGCGGCAGGGGGCGATGGCGGGAGGCGCTGCGAATGGCGGAGAGGAGGGGACGGTGGCAGGGCAGCGCCTGACTCGGAAAGATCCCGACCACACCTGAGCTTGCTGCCCAGATCTACTCTCTTCTGTGGTGATTTATTATTCCATTATTTATTCTTTTTTCAGGACAAGGAACACCATAAAACCACTCTTGTGCAGTCAAAATTGAAAAAACCCAACAGTGTCTGTCCAGCAACCCCTAAAGAAAGTTCTGAATGTAATCTGGCCATCTCATTTCACACAGTGATATTAGCATTTAATTTAACCACTGCTGTCTTTATCTCATCTTCTTCATTCCAGATTTATCCTTCTCCATTGTTCTGTGTAAGCTGTTGTCCCTGTTGCAGTTTATTTAAACAAGCTGTCCAACAATGTCCCAAAGCTCAGCACTTCGGCTCTGGTGTTTGTCAAGTGTGTGTGTGTTAGCAGTGCTGGATTACATGAACCTAAGCCTTGGCCCACGGCTTTGATTCATCTGAAATTAAATGATGAGTGCATCAATGACATCAGAGTGTGTTCTGCTGCTGTTCCTTAGTGCATCCTACCTGCTTTGATATTTATTGTATGCGTTCCCTGCCTGAGGTGAGTAAGGCATTATGTTCGGGGATATTGCAAAGCCAGTTTGTTCTGTAACCTAAGCAGTTTCCAGCTACTTATTTACACCTGTTGCATTACTGCGGTGATTTAGTGGAATACAGTCTGCTATTTCAGATTGTAAATTAAAACTGTTTCTTCCCACGGCACGCTTCTAGCAGTTTCCAGTCAACTTCTACAATCAGGATTTGGTTACATTATTGCATTGCTTTGTTGTTCCTAACAAAAAAATTAAAAAGTGAGAGGTTTCTATACAAGAGATGAATTAATTAATTCAGATGTTTAATTGATTCAATTAATTAATTCAAAAAATTGAAAAATGGGAAGGTTCTATATTGTAGCAGAATTGATTAATATAACTCCTTGCTAGGACTTGTAATACTAAAGAAATTGTGAAAGGCGAGAGTAGGCAGAAACAGTATGGAAAGACAATCAGCAGAACAAAAGGACATGCAGATATGACCAAAAGAGAGACAATGAGATAGAGAGAACAAAAAAAGGAGTGAAAGGCCCAGCCTCTTACACTCCTAAGAAGCCCTGTTAAGAGATTGTTTTCTATGCAAAGTTACAGCGTTTTTTAATTCTTTCTCTCATCCTACCTTTTCCTACATATCTAATTACTCTCTGAAAAAAAATCTATTTCATACATGTCAGACCTGAAGAAAGATTTTAGGCCAGAAACTTGTCCTCCGTTCTCAGCTGTGCCTGTGTTGGCCTACCTACCCCTGCTGTCCCTTTTTCCCGGTAATTTTGCAAGAACCAAAGCTGTGCAATACCCGTCCAACACTGGTGAAGCTTTATCGGTTCTGAAAGGTGCTTATTATTCATAGAGATCCCCTCTGCTATTTCCACATGGAAGGAGAGACATAAGAGAGACATAAGAGACGGCCAGCATAAGACACCAGTATTACTATGGCCATGCAGGGAGGGCTATTGGTTGTTGCTTCTTGCTGGGCTGGCACTTTCCTCTGCACACTTGTCAGCACCCTAGGGGCCCAAGGCAGGCTGGCCACGCTTCTCACAGCCACCAAAGACTCTGGCCCCAGAGCAGTTTGCCCCTCAGGGTGGCCCGGGGCTGGCTGCCTGTCCCCGGCCAGCTGCGCCTGGGCCGCTGCCTCAGCCGTGAGGGATGCAGAGCCGCGAGAGCCCGTGGCTCTCTGCTGGGCCGCACAGCTGAGCTCCCAGCTCCAGCTGGCAGGGCTTCAGCGCCCAGCCTGTGCCCTCCCGCCCCGACGGCCATGCCAGGCCCTGCTTGCTGCCCTGATGGTGGCACTCCCGGCCCCCAGCGCTCTCCAAGGGCTTCTCCTGGGGCACCTTCCTGCAGCCTCTCAGAGCCTGCACAAAACCCAGCAGAGGCCTGCGCTAGGGCTGCTTACAAGGGCCTGGAGGGACAGCACCAGGGGCAGCGGCTTCCCACTGACAGAGGGCAGGGTTAGGCTGG